AAAATTAACAAAAAGGAAAAAAAAAAAAAGCTTAAAACTCTTCCTGCAAGTGGACCCCTATCAGTCAATAAAGAAAACTTTAGACAAGCAGGTTTACAGAAGAAGGTCAATACAATTTCAAGAAGGTTGTCTCCCCAACACACACGTTTTCTCTGAAACAAAACAAAATTTAGTAAAGTTCAGTTTTACTCCCTAGCCAAAACCATCGGAGACTCAAATCAACAATATTTATGGCACTCAACCAACACCTTTTCTGAGAAAGAGGGAGAGAGATGACAATAATTTGTGGAATGAGTTTCTCATCCCTCTTCTTCTCTTTTATAGAAATATTACAAGATATTTTAGGATACACTATACATGGAAACTAGCTATTATTTACATGGTAATTACCTAATTAGCTAAATATAAATAATATTCTAATACCCCCCCTCAAATTGATGTTGGTGAGTCCACAAGCATCAATTTGCTAACTAGATAATTATGACGGTGGCAAGTCAGGGATTTGGTGAAGATATCTGTGGCTTGGTGAGTAGTGGAAAGATGGGGAAGAGCTATGAGAGTCATAAGTGGTTAAACTAAAGCGCCAATTTGGAAGAAACCAATAAAACCTCTAAAAATATTTTGACGGCCAGCAACTATTGAAGAAAAGATACTTGGAATCTGTGAGATATGCATTCACCTTTTCTTCTTTTCATCTTGCAATCATTGAGTCAAAGCTGAAACCTTAAATTGTTGGGAATTGAGAATTTTCCCACATGGTCCTTGTTCAGAGAAGAAAAAAATAATAAATAAAATAAAAATAAAAAGAGACAAAAAAAAAAAAAAAAGAAGGAANATAAATTTATGATTATCAAAGTTTTTCGCTATATGAAAAATATGAAGAATCATATAGAATTTTCAACTCACCAAACCTTCCAAGTATTGTAGGAAAAATACCTTAAGCTTTACCAAACCCACCAATTTCTAGTCTTTGAACAACCTACAAAGAGAACAAAAAAACCAGGATGCCAGGCTTACAATTTTTCCTCTGAAAACCCTCAACACTGAAACCTAAAATCTCCACAGTCTATAGATGACAAGAAATGTCTTTGAGAAATTTATAAAAACCCGGTAACCAAGTTCATTGATTTACACTAAAATTTGAAAAAAGAAGGCCTGATTAACTGGAACGAGCACCTTTTTGAGTGATTAACTGTCACCAACCTTCTACTTGACTGTAAAAGGTTAGCAACATTTCACTTAGTCTTCAACTCTGACCCTAACCTCTTGCAATTTTCCCTTTATTCTTTGGTAGACAGGTGAATCTAAACTCTTGGTGTACCACCTTGTGGATGAGAGGAGATACCTTGCTAATATGGGAGCATTTCGTAAAATAATCCAAAAGGCTAATGAGAACAATCAGAACTTCGTTCTTGAAGGAAGAGGGAAACTTCTGTCCTAGGAAGAGAACAAAGGGTAAAAAAGCAAGCATGCAATGGATGGCATACTTTATGCAGTTTAACATAACTGATACATGAAATTCGAATATAACAGAAAGAACTACAACTTATAAGTTCCTAAGCCTAATATCTGCAAATCCTAGTCATAATAATAAAAAAAAAATTCTAGTAGATAAAAAAGTAACGATCTAATGAAGTAAACCCAAAAACAAATCAGAATACAACTAATTAAATAACACATCTAGGAAGACATAGGGCTAGCACGAGTCCTAGGAGCAGTGGCACTCAAGTAGCTTGTTAGCAAATCCTTTTAACTAAAATTTAATTTCTGTCCTGCATCAGCTTCTGAGGCCGAGTAGTAGAGGGGCATACGATTCACATCTCCGTTGCCTAGTATTTATAGACAGCCAGAAATTGCAAATAGCTCTCTGACTTCTCCACTAAGGCGCGCGCACACACACATATACACAGACAACTCAGCCCAAATCTGCTTATGCATTCCTTATTTTTTTGAGTTTCTTAGTGTTTACAAATTTACACTAGAAAAAGAGTATAATATTATGCATGCCATGTGCTGAAGTTTTTTCTATGACCCAATCTCTAACAGGGTTGAAAAGGTTTTACCAAACATCCCCTTTATGACTAAGTTGGCATGTTTCACCATTGACTAAGCATTGGTTTCAACCTTACATGAAATCTTTGTGAAGTATGATTAAATTGGCATTCCACCTTCGGTAGCAATTTTGTCAGTGGGTCAAAAGCTTTTGAGCTTGAGAACTGAAAAACTATTCTAGACCCTTTTTTAAGCATAGAATTGATATTCTATGACAGTCAGTTTGACATATATTGTAGGTAAGTAATGATTCTATCATAAAATATAATAACTAGTTACTGCTTTGAGGTAGCAGATTCAGGAACCACATAAGATTTTGCCACCAATGGCACAATGTCAAAACTGATTGCTTGATAAATCTATCAAACTGGTCGCTGCTATAATAGTATATATGGTCCAAATTTATTTTTATAATATTTCAGGTCCATTTCTTGAAAATGAAATTCACTTTCAAGTCCAGCAGCGTCTAAATATATGTATCCCTCAATATGGCCCACTGATTTTCCATGAATCTTTTGCATTATGATTTCATAGAGGAACAACCTTGACCCACCGTGTAAGAACTCAAGGATTCACCATTAGTTATCAAAGCGTTGACCTGCATGACTTTCATTCACTTTATACTCAGAATTTTCCTTAGAGGTTGAGAAAGAAACTTGCATACTGCAATTACTCTCTAACATAACTAAGAATTAAAACAGTTCCCATATTTTGCAGAAATGAAAAATAAATAAAAGGGGAAAATGTCATATTTATAAAGTCATGTTTTTGCAATTACTAATGTCCCTCTCACTTCACTGTTTCAGCTTTTGAATACTTCTACTTGGTTGTGTGCAGTCCAAATGCCCAAAACAATAAAGCAAATGAGAAGCCTGACTAGCGAATGAGACAAAAATCTTATTGCGTCTGGGAGTGACAAAAAGAGACACTTATTCATATAGAAAAAGAGAGAGAAGGAATAAAATCTCCTTTTGCCAACTTCTAGAAGATTTGACCCACGGTGAACAATGTCTGCTACAAAAACAACAAATTCTCGTAAAATAATAGCTATTAATTGGCATTTAAAGTCCAACTCATTCACCTCTATTTTCGTTATATGGTTAGAGAGAGCTACTACTTTTGCAAGTATAGCAAGTCATAACTCATATAATATAATGGCTTCTTTAAAATAGATCATAATAGATCGAGATAAGGTTCTACATCCCTGCTAATAAGCAAATGCATTATATATTATTACAGTATTATAACTAATTCTGTTACTCTAGACTTCACCTAGAACCTTGAAAATAAGAAGGTAAAGAGTGAAGGTTCTGGAAAACACCATTTTTCTTGGTTAGTTAATAAGGAAAAGTTGGCAGTGAAGTTATGAGCATTTATATGGATAGCTCTCAAATTCTACACCTCTTACGTCATTCGCAATCATTATTTTTTCTATGGAGATTGTGTCATTCATTCTTAATCTGAACGCATTCCACAAGAGTTTTGAACTTAATTATATTTGTATTTACGTCATTGGTCCCTTGACACCTCTGAATCCCAGCTTCAAAGAAAGCTGGAGTCACCTATGAGAAATTTTCATGTATAATACCAAGAATAACAAATGAAAAATCACTCAGCTTATTTAAAAATCCCAGAACATTCAAACTACTGACAAGAAACTGAGAAGGCAGCACATGTTAAAGTAAGAAAGCGAACCTTGTGCCAGGATCAACCACCTTTAGCGCAGAATAGTTGTGAATTACGACCTCGGAAACTGGTGTCTTGATGGCCTTAGCCTGATCAGCCAGACACTCCTCTCTGGCCAAGAATGCCACAATATCAAGGGAATTCAAGATACCCACAAACCTCTGCTGCCTCATTTCTGCATTCTCAATCACACTCTTCTGTGATCTCTTGTTCCACACTGGAATTCCTCCTTCCGAGGATTCCCCTATGGCCCGAATGGCGGCCTCCACTGTTTCTGTCTCTGCAAACTCAACCAGCTCAGGTTTTCCCACCGTCAGATCCCCCACCACATGGTACAAAAACACTGATGCCATTTCATGTAATTTTCCAACACTAATATTAGTAGTATGGGTTCTTGTTGTTTCAAGTTAGTCGGAGAGGATAGCGGTTTCTCTTTATTATCTGGAACCAAACAGATTGTATGTCTTGCAGTGCAGTGATAAAATTGATTTAGAGGAGCAATTGGCTGGACCCCTTAATGAACAATTTCTTGATTTATATTACGAGCAGGTGAGCGATCTGCAAAAGATCCAATCTTGAACTCAATTAAGAGATGGCAAAAGGCGAAGACTATAACAGAGAATGAAGGAAGACAAGAAAAAGGTGAAAACGAGGAATGGACAATAATTTGACAATAACAGCAATACTAATAGAAATGGTGTGAAAACAAGAACAAGAAGAATTGGGCACCATACATTAATACTACTATATTTAGAATAATTAAGATGGCTAATTAAGATGGCCTAATAATTACTCTTTTGGGTAAATATTTTTCTGGGTTACACGGTGAAGCCGCCCCTGGAAACGCTATCCGTAGATGACAATCAGATTTGTCTTGTTCTTGTAGACACCAGGTGGATGCAGATGAATCTTGATTTCTCAGTAATGAAGGGAAGACAGGATAAATATTGTTCAAACAGTAGCTTTTTGACTTTATAGTTTGTATTTTTGTGTGGGTATACAAATTAAAAAAATTATCATATTTCTGTTGAAATAAATATATTTAATCCCTTGCAAATAAGAGTGCCAAATGCGTTGAGATACCAAATGTTGACGATCCTACAAAATGTAAGCTTGACACACAAACTTGTAGCAACCTAAGTATCGGAAAATTTCAATAAATGAATGTTCGATAAATTAATTTCTCTTAAATGATAAAATTATTCGGTCCCAACTTGGATCAGTGTACTAAATTAATAACCCCGTTAAATACATAAGATAATAATTTTTTTGAGATCTTTAAAGATCAACGAATATATATATATATATATACATACTAGGTGCAAGTAACGTGCAATGCACGTTTGCCTAGTTTATATTTAATAGTTTTGTTTAAGAATTAATTTGTTACTAATAAAGATATAATTTTTTTGGTTAATTAAATAATTAATGATGTAATGTTTATGTAATTGATAAATAATTAGATGTGTGATTTTGATGTTGTGATGTAAGTTGGTGAGATCGAAGAAAATAAGCAAAAGTTGACAAATTTGGAGAAATAGCTAAATTGTAAGGGATCCAAAGTTCGGGGACTAAAATGTAAATACTTAAAAGTTGTGCCGAACCTCACGATGAAGATTTGAGAGTGCTCGGAGTCAATTGGATAAAGGAAGACGTCAATGGAATCAAATTTAGTCAAAAGATGATCACAAATCAATTTCCAACCGAAAAGTTATGCTCCAATGTTTTAGTCTCATATTGAGACCTATTTTTGGCATAGAAAGTGATCGAATTGGAGAATGATGTCTGAATCAAAGTTGTAGCTAGATGGGTTATCTTTCCAACGCATTTTGAATCGCCTCAATCGAACATCGGAATACAAAGTTATGATAAAAACACTAAAAGAAGGTGTAGCTACCTGTTTAAAACAAGAAATTCCGTTACATAATCCGTTAAAACAACAAATTCCGTTAGTTTTTTCGTTAAACCAACAATTTTCGTTAAATAAGCACTTTTTATATATAGAAAGATATATAATTGCTTAAATTTATTAGAGCTCACGCTAACACAAATTAATAAATATTTAATTTGACTTGTTTTAAATTTTCTTCTTTTTCAAAATATGCATCTAAAGTCTTTTGTCTTTCATTTGCACTCAAATCAAACTCAACTTAATCTCTAGTTTGTTGCAATGCAAATACTACATTTGACATTTTTTTTCTTCATTTTGTACAAAGTAATTATTTAAGGTTACGACTGTTTGAAATGCCTCATTTGAAGAAACAATTGGTAAAATACAATTATAATCTGGATCATGATCATCATTGATAGGTGCATTGAATATCTCTTCAATAATATCTTCATCAATAGGAGATTCCATTACCACATCAGTTTCCCTGAAATAGTTTAAAATGTGCTCGACATCCATAACATTCTATATCGTAGACCAAAAATAACTTCATGCAATCCTTTGATTTTGTCATCTTAACTAACATTCTGGTTCAACGTTAATATCTCAATCTCAACAAATCTTACAGTACCGAAAATAATTTCAATAGTTATTGTCTTCACATCATTGTTCCAAGTCGCATTAATAAAATTAATAGCATTCATCATCTTGCCAAACCTACAAACAAACTCTTGAAAAAGTAACCCAATTATCGTTGCTTTTCTATTTCCTCGATAATGACAATTAAGATTCTCATATTTTCAACTAGGATTAGCAAACTTACCAATACTTCGTCTGAACCGTCACCATTGCAACAAACAACAATTAATACTCTATAAATTAATAATTATTCATTTATCGATAGATTAATAACTTGTCTAAAATAATAAATTTTCTTGGTCCCAATATTATTAATTCATGGAGGTTTTATTGTATGTCACTAGTCACGTTGAACTTGTGTAATTTTTTCTTAACATCATCTTGACCTGCATGGCCAATAAATTGAAGTTATTAACTTTTAATTTGTTTAATTTTAAAAATTTTGTATAAATTGAATTCTTCCTCGCCATAAATATGTCAGCAATTGTATGGATTGGGACAATGTGATGGGAAATGAAGAATAAAGATGTTCATACATAGAAAGGTGATATTTTTCCAAATCAAGTCAAAAGTTGGAAGTACATAGCTTACTTTCCCTGCATTTGTGCGTAAACTAAACCCATGGAAATCTCATCATCTCTTTTTCCCCTTCGTCCTTCCAATTTTCCGTTCAATATGCTTAAATAAAGAAATGAACTGATACAAGAACTAAATCACAGTCAAAGAAATAAAAGTGGGATTATGCCCCAGTTTGACCCACATTTTTTTTTTCATTCTCATTCTTCTACTCATCTTCAACCACACATTCTTCAATAAAATAATATTTTACATCACATCAATAATTTTTCCTTCATTTTCAACCACGTATTCCCCATCACATCACTTCAAAAAAATGCATTATCTCATTTTAATGTGTACCAAACAAGCTCTATATCTCATCAATCAATGGTACATCATCAGTATATCATTTCAGTTAGATACAACTATACCTAAAAATGGTACTGTATATCATTTTGCTTCTTGCAAGGCACAACAAAGAGAGTGAGTCCATCTAATCAAGTAGGCATCACCACTAGTTCTATTTCAACTGGTTTCACCTTGACGATGTTATCCAACAAGGCCAAGATGACCAGAGTATAAACCAAAGCCTGAAAGAAGAATGATCAGACGGAACAAAATTGGGGAAGGGGGGAGTCGGTGGACTGTATTGCTGGGCCATTCAAAGTTGTGGAACATCAACACTTCGTCAAACTTGAAACTCCGCCTAACTCCAATTGGGGGGGAATCTATCACGTATCAATTGTCATAAAATATGACTTGAAATAAGTTGGTTGAATCCACATTCGGCAAGTTGCCTCAATTCTACAACAAATGTCTGAGCTAATATCTAATTGGTCCATCCAAGCTCCCAGATGCAAACTGAAAGCATCCAATTAAATTTTAAGCAAAAAGTAAAGAGGTTAATCAAGCATCTACAGTTAACAAGTGAAAATGTCCTATCCCAATAATCTCATGCATATCATGGGTAATACTATTTAACACTTAGCCCCTGCTTGGTAGGGATTAAAATCAGTCAAAGTCAAAAGGTGAGAAAAGCAGTGGATAAAGTCGGGGAGGATTGAGTGGGACCCAAAAATCTATGATACAAGAAACAGTGAAGTTAAAACAGGAGTGGGGTTATCATATCTCAAATTAGTTAATTATTCAATGTCATTTTAATGTTTCGGAAATTCTTATGCACATAATATTTAAGGAAACTGCAAGATGGATTCTCGTGAAAGAATTCAAACAATAATAGAAAGAAAATTAATAATTTTGATAAGGAGAATAATTAAATTTTACCTGCCGAACAATTGGATTTGTTGATGAGGAGAATTCATCAGTCATCCCTTGCCAAACAACCTTTCCTTCATGGAGAAATATCAGCCTACTTATGGTGATAAGTTTGGATGAGAAGAGTACCAACAAGCATCCCAAAAGACAAAGACCGTAATTGTAAAATGAAGTTCTAAAAACTAATGAGTACCTATCAACGGCTCTTCTGATTGTACTATGTTGATGAGTGACAACAACATAAGATGCAATCTTTCCAGGCTTCCCAAGTGCATCCTCGCCTTTCATATGAACAGAGCGGATGAGATCCTCAACTACAGTAGATGCAATTGGATCCAGTCCAGCAGTTGGCTCATCATACAGGAGCACCTGCTCAGATGTGAATGTAACTATCACCAGAGAGGCAAATGACCACATTTCTATCAAATTTATCAGAGCTTAAAGAAAAGTACAATTTCAGATCAGAAGAGCTGTCATTGTTTAGTCTTTGTCCTGTCTACCCAGAGATTGCCCACCCCCACCACCGCCCCCTCTCTGGCGCTGTGCGTGTAGACCTATTTTAAGTATTATGTAGTTTCTATATTGACTAAAGATCTCCAAAATGCTGTCTACACCTATGATTGCATCAGCAATGTTCACCACGCATTTCTACAAGCCCCATAACTTTAAAAAAAAAAAAAAGGAAGGATATCCCAAGGTTGGATTAAAATAAAAGTTTTGTTTAAACTCAATCAAGCTAGTCCATTATATTGGCATTAACTCTATTGAAGTTAAAGAGAAAAGAGGTAGCAAAGAATATAGCAATTCCAATGTATGCTCAATACCAGGGCGGCAAGTAAGCTTTTGATCTAGGTTGTACAAGCATGAGCTGCTCTTTGTCAAGCTAGATCTGAGCTCGAACAGGTACCGAGAAAGGAGAGTTGCTCATAACTCATAAGATTGAAAGTTATTTTATCATTTAACCGTTTGATAAGTAAGAGCTAACAATTAAGT